TCAATTTATTGGAGTTATATGCACGCAAAAGAAAGAGAACGAAGAAAATAAATGAAGAATTTTTGAAGAAAGTGTTAGCGTCATTTGTGCAACATTTTTGAATCAGGCATTGGTAGGTGTGAAGATGCATGTGTCATTACAGTATTGGGTGCGAATGCACTCGTGAATGGATTAATTAGGATGGCCACAGGGCCAGGAAATGGAGCACTTTTCCACTTTTCTACCAAAGTTATTTCTATAGCACAAGTCGTTTTAGCGAAATGCTCTCATTTTGCTAAAACGACTTGTGCTCCTCACTAGGCGGCGTAGCCGGAGTTATCAAAGCCTTGCCGCTTCTCCCTCAAGCGAGTATTTAAGCATACTGGAGGGATGTAACGCCTCCACGCTAGGCTCTGACTCCGCATTATTCCGCCTACTGTTTGTACCCAACTGGGCTGCGCAAGCCTAATGAACGGATATGCAAATCCAACACCAAAAAGAGGAAAATATTAACATAATGTTTTTTTTTGTTATGTCGTATTTTCGATTTATAATGAAGTGGCGATGAAGGGAGGAACAGCCTTATGCATTCAAATTCACTTAGACTCTCATTTGTTATATGCTCGAGCTACTCCTCTAATTTAATGCAGTGGTTTTAATTTGTCCTGTGTAGCCTAGTGACTTTTACCACTTACAGCTTCAAATAATAGGACCAATCATATCTAAGTAAAAATCACTAGCTTTTATAAGTGCCATTTCCTGAAAAACAATCTCTCTTGGTCACCATCTTTGGTCACCGCTCTGAGAATAAGATCCGCTGAAAATCTGCTCTATTAATGGTGCCAGATTACTACTATATCAGGCCAATATATAAATAATGTATTCAAAGATAGGTCGTTTCTATATGCTCAATATGATCATAATCTCCATCGAGAAACAGAACTTTGAAACTTTTCTGCAAGACATTCCAGAGAATCACAGATTTAATGCATTACATTCTGAAGACATTGTGTTTATTCACCTTCTTCCTTCTGTCTTTGAATTCTATTTCCGTTTATTGGGCATGCAGAGTCTAGTTTGAGGAACATGTGGAGAATCGGCGGAGCTAGCAATTCGGGTGCATTAATTTCCTCCAAGATGCCTTACTCGTTCCAAGGGAAAGCGGCGAGACTTCGGAAACCTGCGCAACTCCTCCTTACTGTGCACTGAAATATCTCAAAGACTCTATATATTTGCGAAGTTAACCAAAAAATCAATGAAAGTTTATGGCAACTCTTTAGCCTCAATGCAAATTTCTTCCATAATTTTTGTACTTGCTTTTCTCTTGAAGGAAGTCATGCTTTGAAAGCGTGATTCTCTCATTCAGGACCTTCTTTCGTAAAAGATACTTCACACAACGTTTCCAATCTTTCTGTCTCATTCATTTGTTACGTAATCTGCAGAGCTGCTCAAAATTATGGAGTTAAATTGATCTGAATTTGTAATTTCGAAGCGTCAACTTCAATAAGGAGGTTGAAATGATTTGTAGCTATTCGGAGTCGTGGACAGAATTTCTATAGTATTATAAGAATTTTGAAGTTCCTATTAATTGACGAATGCCTTACA